GGCAGGAGTGGACCGCAAAGGAGAACAGGCATGGCCTCCATCTCTGGCTCTCCAAAGATCATCGGTCAATGCGACCAGAGCGGTTGCTGTGCTGTAACCGGGTCTGAAGCCTGACTGGAAGGGGTCGAGATAGCTTGCTTCCTCCAAGGACCGTTGAAGCTGGAAGGCCACCACTAGTGGGAGCTGGAAGGCTCCCACTACTAGGAGCCTCAGGTGAGAACTGAGTGACAAGCGGGGACCAAAGGTAGACGAGCTGCCCTAAAAGGACACGACATGCCCCTATACCAGAGGTGCTATCCCTCCCTGAACACTCCATACACTTAGCGATGGTTGAAAGGGCGGGTGTGGATCTTACATTGGGAGGTTCAACATTTCAAAAGGCAGGAGCCACAGGAGAAAAGGCTCTTCTGTACCTCGTCAGCTGAAATTTCATAACTGACACGATCCGCAGCATGTCCCCTCCCCCCATTGGTGGGAAGGACCAATACCCAATGAATGAGATTGCAAAAAATCTGGACCCAATCTGGACCCATGCCATGAAGGGCTTTAAAGATGATAAGTGACACCTTGAATTGCATCCAGAAGCAAGCCGACATCCAATGCAGCTCACAGATCAATGTAACATGGGCCACCCTAAGGGCCCCAAGAAGTCTCCACACCACTGTATTCTGCACTAGTTGCAGCTTTTGAATATACTTCAAGGGTAGACCCATGTAGAGTGCACTGCAATAGTCCAGGTGTGAGATGACCAGGACTTGGGTGACTGAGTGCATGAATCCCAATCCAAGAAGGGTCACACCTGACATACAACACAGACATGTGCAAAGGCTCTCTTAGCTGCACCACCCCCTGCTCTTTGAGCAGGAGTCATGAGTCCAGAAGTACTCCCAAGTTGTGTATCATATCTGTTTGAGATTGTGCAACCAAATTCAGAACTAGAAAGGTTGAATTCCCAGATCCAGAACACCAGGCACCCAAAACCAGGGTTCAGTGGAAGCATTTTGCCCCCCATCCAGATTTCCACAGCCTCCAGGCACTGCAAGAGGGCAGCCACAGCATCACTTGAGTCATCAGGGGTGGAAATATAGAACTGAGTATCATCCCTGCACTGAAGTTACTTCAATCCATGGTGATGAAAGATCTTACCCAGCAGCTTCAAAGATCTTAAAAAGAAGTGGAGAGATACCGAGACCTATGTCACAGCACAAAAGGGATGTAGGACAATTGATTGCAGCAACATTGCTGTGCCCACTTCACCCCAGGCCCTCCATCAAAGCCCATCTATCGTACGGTATTCATTCTCAGCTGGCCCTCTGCCAGCACTCCTGCTCTGTCACTGCCCCCCCCATCCTCTCCCCCCACCATGTGGCCATGAGACTCAGGGACACTTATCCCTGGTGGATTCACAGTGCAGGACAACTAACCGCCAGCCAATCCGCATACTGAGGGATGGGCCTCTGCCTCCCCATTGGATGGCAGAAGCCTCAGGCAGCGAGGAAGTGGGGACAGAGTGGCAGGTCCACGTGCAAAGCCCCTGATCAGCCTGCATGTTTTGCACTCATGCTTCAGTGGGGGCAAGAAGCAATTTGCATGGCGGGGCAATTTTCATGGACCGCCTAAACAGAACCCAAATAAAATATGAGGATAATATTTTGTTTTAAAATGCTTTGGTGGTAAAGCCATAGAAGCAAGTGGAGCACCAGGGAGGGGAGGGGCAGTGGACACCGAGACCATGAGTAACATGGAGAAAAACCTTCCTTATGGAGTGCCAAAATTTGCTTACTCTACCTACAATAGTCACCATTCTCTACACTTTCATTGGCCTGCACCATGGCTTCCTCCTCCTCTTCTCCTCTTGGCTCATTCTTACTCTCTCTCCTGCTTCCCCCCTTTCTTGCTCTTTACCTCCAGCAGCACCTGGAAGAAGATCTGCACACGGACCTGCCACTGTCCTCCACCTTCCTGGCGCCTGAGGTTGCTGCCGTCTAATGGGAAGGCAGAGGCCCATCCTTCACCGTGGGGATTGGCTGGCAGATAGTTGTCCTGCACCATGAATCAGCCAGGGATAAGTGTCCCTGGATGAATCAACCATGACCACACGGTGGGGAAGAAAGGACCAGTGGCGGGGCAGGAGTGCTGGCAAAGGGCCAGCTGAGAATGAACACCTGCAATAGGTTGGTGGGCCTGGGGTGAAGTAGGCGTGGCAATGTCACCACAATCAATTGTCCCATTCTGCCACCAAGGAGCATCCTCCTTTACATAAGGACCTCTCTTGTTATATGACAATTCTTTTCTTATCACCCAAACACACTACTGTTCAGCGAAGTCTATCCTCTTAATTCAAAATGTAAACACTCAGAAAGATTTTCATTTCCATTTCTACAGTCAAGAAACCACTGCAGTCTGGTTGTCACATAGTGGAAAGAACAGGGGTAGTTTACCAATGCAAGATAGGCCTTGGTGACTGTCCGATTTTTGAAACACGCGTACACACTGCCAGCTGCCTCTCTGTTCAGTGCCACACAAAGTGCCCCGCTGGTGGAGAAATCCAGCTGGTGGCAAAACCTAGAAAAAAATACCCAAGATATGTTAATATGTAAACCCAATTAAAATATCTGTAGACCCCCTACTCTTATGCCGAGGCCTAAAAGATGGTCAATTTCTGGTTTACAGCATTTGAAGGACTAGACTTCTTGGTGGTATCGCAGCGGTTGCTTTTTGGTGGTGGCACCCTATTGATGCCCACTCTCCTTCAGAAGCAAATAGCAACTTAGGAAGGTATGATCAAAAATTAAAACACAATCAAAACCAATCAGAAGGCAAAACTAGTAACATCACGCAAATATAAAAGAGCAATATAGCAACAATAGAAGCATTGCTCTAAAAGAAATTGTACATGATTTGAAAAGCCAGCAGTCCAATTCGCAGCAGGAAAATCGAGTAGCTAAGAGAAGGCCCTGCTTGTGCTGAACTCCAAGGATTGCTCCAAACAGGAAAAGCTTCAATGGGCAAGGAAATAAAAGCCGCATTCCCAGATGGAATAGCATTTGAAAGCATTCTAGTTGCCCCCTCTTAACAGATGAGATAGCAATAGCAATAGCAGTTAGACTTATATACCGCTTCATAGGGCTTTCAGCCCTCTCTAAGCGGTTTACAGAGTCAGCATATTG